ACAGTGGTGGTCTTTGATGCATAAAAGTTTTAAATTTTAGTGAGATTAACTTTACCTGTTTTTTCTTTTCCTTTAGTTGGTTGATTGTGCTTTTGGTGTCATGTGTAAAAATCCATAGCCAAATTCAAAATTACACACTGTTGTTGTTTTTTTTCCTAAGAGTTTAATAGTTTTAGCTCTTACATTGATGTCTTAGAACCATTTGAGTCCAGCTTCTTTCTTTTGTACCTGAATATTCAGTTGTCCCAGGGCCATTAATTGGGGAGACTCTTTAGTAATCCTTAAATGTTTGGGGCCTTTGTTGAAAAAAAAAATCAATCGACTTTAACGTGTTCAAGTTTAATTCTGGACTCTCAATTGTAACTCATTGATCTATATAACTAACTTGTGGTTGTTGTTTCTGGGGTGTGAACCCAGGGATGCTTCATCCCCAGTCCTTTGTAGCTTTTATTTGGGGTCAAGTTCTCACTCTGTTGCTGAGGGTCTGGCTAAATTGCTGAGGCTGGCCTCAAACTTGAGTCCTCTTGCCTCAGCCTCTTGAGTTGCTGGGATTACAGGTGTGCACCACCACGCTCGGCTTATATCCTTAATTTTTAAGGCTCGGGAGAAAGAATCCAATGAACATGACCCAACTTCTTGGAGAAACAAACATAATAAGGCAAAACAAACAAGAATCACCTCCCTGGACTAGATTGATTTAGGCAGAATTTTGTGGGTTCACAGTAGATTTTTGAGTCAGAAACACCCTATCTGAACTTTGGCCACTGGTTTGCCTGCAGTTTCTACTTTATCCCCAGAGGAGAGGTCTTCTGAAGGGCCGGTCATCCACAGGCTGAGAGCCGCTTTTCCTCTTCCAGGGAACTCTCCGAGTCAGAAGCTCAAACTGGCTCTCCCAGCCCTCGGCCCAGAGCCTCCTTTCCCTGAGAAGCGGGCAGCCCCGCGTCTTGTCAGTGCCCTTCCCACCCAGCTCCCATCATCCCTCCTGAAAGAAAAGACACTGAGGGCAACTGTCTGGTCTGGCAAAAGAAAAGCCCTTGGTCCCTGGGTGGCCGCAAAGGGCAGTGACCAAGGATTGCCAGCAGACATCTGGTGTCCTTGCTCTGAGCCTGGCTCTCCCTGGCTCCATGACCGTGGTTTGCAGCCAGCTGGGAGCAGTTCGTCCACCCCCCACCCCCACACCCCTGTCACGGGACAGAAACAGCGGGTGCCGTGGGCGGGAAGAATTCCAGGGAGTTGGAGGGGGAGTGGGAGGGGGGGAAGGCCGCTGTGGCCCTGAATAACATCTTTCTTTCCACTATTTGTTTTTCCTCCGGATTGGTTTAAGGCCCAGCCCAGTGACTGCCTTGGCGGTAGCTGGGGGCTGTCCATCTAGGGACCCAGCTTGGAGAGACCCTATCCCTTCCTTGTTGGTGGCCGTGTTTAAAGGGACAGAGACAATGGGACCTCTCTTCCTTCACGTCATCAGTTCTCATCGGTCCTGTCTTAGTGCAGACAGAGAACAGGGTGGCAACATGGGCCTCTGGCTTGTCCTGGGAAGGTCTTTCTGCCTTTTGTCTGTCCTGCTGTCCCTTCTGGGTGTCCTTAGGGCTGGCTGCTAAAGCAACTGCTCGTTTGAGAGTGAGGGAGGAGCCTCAGTCCCAGGCCTCCGGAACCTTCCTGAAACACACCGTGGTGCTGACATGTGGCCCATTCTGCCGTTGGCCCAGGGAAGTCGGGCTTGTTCTGGGCCACGTGGCAAAGCTGGCTGCCCGGTGGGGCCTGGCCAGTGGGTCTGGGTGTGCGCGTCAGAGCCGATGTCTAGCTTTCACTTCCTCTGGAAATCCCATGCACTTGACCTCTGAGGCTTCTGCAACGCGTGTCCTCATTCCCTGGGGGTTTTGGTTCGCCGGTTTTCTACGATCTTACTTCAGTGAGAGTACACACAAAGTTAGAGCTCCTGACCCAGGAGGGCAAAGGTTGCAATCCCAGCAAGACCCACACCCAGAAACCCAAAACATGCCGAACCCCTTTAGAGAGTTAGAGAACATGCACCTAACGCAGAGTTGGCAATAGGGAGGGATTCGAGGGGTGTCACAGGACCTTGGGCAGCCCTGGGTGGCAGCCTCCCAAGCTGAGTGTCCTCTGAGTTCAGTTGTGTCCACTCTGAGTCACCTCAGGTTCCACCTTAGAGACCCAAAAGGAGAGCTAGGGGTGGCCCTTGTCTTCCCAGGGCACGCAGCGGCCGGGCACACTCCACCAGGTGGAGGGGGATAAGGAGGACACAACCAGGATCAGGAAGCACCATGGCCATCCAGGGCAGGACGGGTTAACAGGGAGACTTTCAGAGAAGAAGGTAGGGGGACCTGGAGGAGGGGTGACAGAGGCAAAGGCACCTGTGTAAGTGTGTGTGGGGGGTCATTCTGGGGCAGTAGGAGGCAAAGTTGGAGGCTGCAGGACACTCTAGGAGTCCCTGTCACCAGCTGGTGTGCCCACGCCCCAGAGTTCATGGAATAGCCATTGACTCACAGGAGTCAGCTGCTTATTATCACACCCCCACCCCACCCCCGCGGGGACCAGCTGCAGACAAGGGCTGCACAGATGTGGTCCCCAAGGCCCATCCCTGGCCTCAAGATGGAATCAGACTGAAGTGGACCTCCAGCTGACAGCAGCTTGGCTGGGTCTCTGTCCCTGCCCTCTCCCACTTCCCCTTCCCTTTCTAGTTCTTATCCTGAGACGCTAAGACCACCGCCACCCCTGGCCCTGCAGCCGCGGCCACCAACGCTGCTTGCATCGCGGCTGCCTCGGGACCGGCTGTATGATTAGGCCCCAATCTTCAATGAGTAAACAGATTCCTCAGTTCTGTGGTGTTCTGGATCACACATTTATGGAGTTTCTGAAGGGCAGAGGAGATTACTGCCAGGCACAGCACGACCTCTATGCAGACAAGTGAACGGTAGAAATTCATTACTACTCCACCGAGAAGCCCCCATAAGAGTGGTTAACCTGGACTCAGACGTATTGAATTGAAAATCCACCGAGCATTTCACAAGAGTTCTGACCTGGATGGGGTAAACCTCAGTGCACTTCCTTTCTATTGCCTCAGTATTACTGGATTGAAGAGTTGCTGCTTCTGGTTAGGAGGCTCACTTCATTTCCCTTACTCCCAACTTCATACTCAAGCACTGAGAATATCAAGTGGAGTATATTGACGTAGACTTCAGTTACTTTGCATCATTTCTGTATTCAATTTTTTAAATTCTTTCATAACCCTATTGAGTGTTTTTTAACTAAATTAACATGGCTCGAATGAACCACCCTGCTCCTGTGGAAGTCACATACAAGAACATGAGATTTCTTAATACACACAATCCAACCAATGCAACCTTAAACAAATTTATAGAGGAACTTAAGAAGTATGGTGTTACCACAATAGTAAGAGTACGTGAAGCAATCTATGACACTACTCTTGTGGAGAAAGAAGGCATCCCTGTTCTTGATTGGCCTTTTGATGATGGTGCCCCACCCACCGTCCATCCAAATTGTCGATGACTGGTTAAGTCTTGTAAAAATTAAGTTTCGTGAAGAACCTGGTTGTTGTATTGCTGCTCATGGTGTTGCAGGCCCTGGGAGAGCTCCAGTGCTTGTTGCCCTGGCATTGATTGAAGGCAGAATGAAATATGAAGATGCAGTACAATTCATAAGACAAAAGTGGAGCCTTTAACAGCAAGCAACTTTTGTATTTGGATTTTGTATTTGTCCTAAAATGCGGCTGCGCATCAAAGACTCCAATGGTCATAGAAACAACTGTTGCATTCAATAAAACTCGGGCGCCTGATGCTATTTCCTTGGAAGTGGAACTTAAGACGGGACCTAATTTGTCATACATATTAGCCAACATGTTGGCGTGGTGAATAAGTCTGATGAAGCTTCCATAGGAGTATTGGAAAGCAGTTTTACCAGGCCACAAGCTTGACAGAATTTCAACCTCTATGTTTGGGTTATGATCAACCTGTTTGGACACTTAGCAAAAGATTCTTGTTGTTCACCATTTAAAATGTGCTTATCATTTGTACCAGTTGACCTTTCCTGAAATCATGCGGTATTGAGTTAATATCTTTAAATCTATTTCCATGCCAGAATCTTACATAAGAAATTTAGAAAGATTAGGTGCCAAAATAACCCAGCACCATACTTGTATATTTTTAGTATCATACAAAACCAAAATTCCAGGAACTAAGAACACTCTAGACCTTATGTGATTTATTCCTTCAGTCATTTCAAACATTGTAGGCCCTATATGATTATTTGCCTGCTCTTTTTATGTTTACATCTCCCACATTCATACCAGTATACATCAGGTTTGCTTTTACCTATTGGGGTTTTTTGTTTTTGTTTGTTTTGTTTGTTTTGTTTGTTTTTTTTCCTTTTACCAAGTCTTACAGCAATTATTTTTATTTAATATCTTTCTATTAAGTCTTATTTTTTGCTATTATGGGAAACCTCCATTTTGAAAATCTAAGTTTTTACAGAAGCACATGTCTTTAAGTCTCCAGACAAAAAAAAAAGCCTTACAGTTAATTTAATGTTTGCACTCTGAGGTACAACTTAACAGGGAGGGCCTGACAAAAAGATTGGGAGGGGGCTATTAAATATTTTTAGTAAAATGCTGCCTTTGTCTCGTGCAGAACCTGTAGAATATATGCTCTTTAATTTAGTAAATATTTTTTTAAAAGGTACAGATACTCTGTTATTGTAGGTAAAACAATTCTTAATCATAAAGTTTCTGAAATTGAGCAGACATCTAATATTTTATATGCCTTTTGAGCTGTGTAATTTAATTTTTGGATACTTGATAATTTTGTTTTATCATGTAATTGATAAAATGGTGATGTGTATTAATGTTAGTTCAACCATATATTTATACTGTCTGGGAATGTGTGGTTATAGTTCTGTGGGAGAAATAATTTGTCAGTGTTCACCAGCTTGTAAAAACTTAGTGCAAGAGCTTAAACATCTAAATAAATAATGAAATGCATTTATCAAAAAAAAATTTTTTAAATAAAATAAAAATAAAAAAGGGCTGGGGAGGTGGCTCAGTGGTTAAGCGACCCTGGATTCAATCCCCAGTATCAAAAAAAATCCCAGGAAATGGACTCCCATGGTCCTCTCTTCCTCCCCAAATCTGTATTCCTAGCCAGCGGCGCTGAGCACCAGAGCGGTCATTTACTTATGCAGATCCACGACCACTGCTTGAAAAACAAGGCTCCTGCCTCTCTTGATGGTGCCTTCAGCTCTCAGAGCCACAGAGCTCCTCTCAAAAGAGGAGCAAGAACAGCACATTGACTCTCTTCACTGTGCATACGCTTTGGGCCCACAATGCAGTGAATTAAGTCTATATTCATGAGCAGAGGGCCACCCCATTGATTCTCATGCCCCAGCAGGCTGTGAGCTTGGGATGTTGGCTCCACCGGTCTCTTCCCCAGGGACAGAAGAAGGGTCTCCTTCATCCCCCTCAAAGGGATACTCCAGAAAAGCGCCTCATCCACTGAGCTCGGATTTGGACATTGCCATCTCCTTCTCAAGGCCATTTGCTTCCAAAGCTTGGTCTCTGCATCCCGGAGCTTTCTCCAGCCCCCAAACCAGTCCTGCACCTCAAGCTGCAAGTCTTCCTGTGGGCCATGTTATCTCGGAGAGGCTGTCGTTGCCTGGGCAGCGAGGTTCCTGAGCAGAGGTTAGTGAAACAGTGATTCCTTTGGAGACCAGAGTATAGGATTCAGAAAGAGCCCCCACGGCCTGTGGGGAGTAGATGCATGATCCAGGCAGGACCACAAGCCAGAGGAAAGAATAGATGATCTGGTGCTGGGGCAGGGACTCAAACAACCCGGGGTGCCCCTCATGCTTATTGAGAACCAGGATGCTTCCCAAAGGGACTGGAGATGTAAATGTGGTGGGGGTGGTGAGACACACCTGTTATCCCAGCAATTCTGGAGGCTGAAGCAGGAGGATTGAAATTTTAAGGCCAGCCTCTGCAATCGAGGGAGACCCTGTTTCTAAATAAAAAAAAATAAAAAGGACTGAGGATGTGGCTCAGTAGAAGAGCTACACTCAGTGGTAAGGGTTCAATTCCCAGTAAAATAAATCAGATGAAACTTGTATAAGCACCGAAAGAAAGAAAGCATGGTTAAATTCTACAATTTGGGAGTGGGGAAGACTTTTCTAATTCTGACTCGATATCCAGAAACAAGAAGGGGAAAATGCTTTAACGAACTGAGTTTTGTAGGGAAAAACAACTAATTACATAAGATTTAAATAAATAAAATGGCAAGGGGACTGGCAAAAGAAAATTACAACCTACATCACAGATGCCATTTATATATTTAGTATAAAAATATGATCATATTCTTTGTATACAATGAGCTTCTAGTATACACTAAAGGACCAGCAACCCAAAAGAAAAATGCACTAAAAATAGTAATAGTTTACAAAAAAAAAAGAAAAAAAAGGCAAAGGCCTCAGAACTGTCTGAAAAGACACCCAACCTTGTTTATGGTAAAAGAAATGCAAATTGCCCCAAAGAACTATTTCTCACTGATCAGACTGGCCAAAATCCAAAAAAATGTCCAACAAATTCCTCTCTTGTCCCGTCTATGAGAAAAATCCCCCTTATTCTCACCCACTGCGGGCGGGACATGAACCTGCATGCCATGCCTGAGCTTCACAAGGTCAGCAAACCTGCAGGCGCATTCCCCCGTCTCCCCGTCCCGCTTGTAGGACTGCACCCCAAAGATGCATCACAAACAAGACAGAAAGACTCACACACAGCTACTTATTGCCATGCTATTTGTAACAGCCGAAGCTTGGAAAGAACCCAAACGTCCATCAACAAGGGCCTGGAGAAATAAACAAGAGTCCATCTACACAATGGGGTACTTTGCAGCCAAAAAGAGAACAAGGAGGAGCTGCACAGGCGGACACAAAGAGATCCCAGGACTGTTTCAGGAAAGGAAAAAGACAACGAGGAGGGCAGGATGTATAGGGCACTCAAAAGCAATGGGTTATCTAAGAAGGGAAGAGAAAAATACAAATTCTAAAATGCAAATAAATGTCGTCTTAGAACTAAAAAATAAACATGGGTGGTTCCAACAACAAAAAAGAAAGGACAGGGTGGGGAGAAAAGAAGAGATGCGGGATTCCTTTGAACGCATCACGATTTTTATTTGATTTTTACCGTGTACATATTTTATATGATCATAAAGCTCAATTAAATCGTTAAAAGAAATCCCCAGGCGTGGGGGTGTAGCTCGGTGGTTGAACTGAACGCGTGCTCCACATCTATGAGGTTCAGGGTTTGATCCCCAGCACCAAACCCCACGGGGGAAAAAAAAAAGAAAAGAAATGAACAAGAATTCTTAAAACTGAAAGCAAAAACGAAGCCGGTGCCCCTCGCTGTGCAGTGACTGGCAGCTGGGTACACAGAGGAACTTCTAGATGGCTTCGACTATGTGTCCCTCGTGGGACTTGCTACTAGAAGAAATCCATAAAAACAAAATATGAAGCTGCTTTCAACTATAAAAACTTACTCTAAGTCTGCTGCCCAGGTAGAGAGACAGGTGGATAAGGAACCCTGCAGGCAGGTGTCCTTGAGCCCTGAGATTTGGGGAACAGAACAGAAAGAAGCAATTCAGATGTAAAAAGCTACGAGATGAAGCAAAAATTCCAGGATTCTGGATTCGTATTAAAAGTCTCAGTATAAATGCACATTTTTTCTTAAAATAGTATTTTAAAAAAAAAGATCCTATTTTCATCCTCCGAAAAGGCAAAAAGGTCTCAGGGGTCAGGGGAAAACAGGCTGCCACGAGATTCAAATGGGGACAATCTGAAACTCAGTGCAGACAATGACCACAGTCAACTGGCAAACGTCACACACGGGGAAAAGACGTGAGTTCGTAACGATTTTTAAAAACTCACTGATCATTTGGGGGGATGCTGTGGTTTGGATGAGTATCCCTCAAAGTCTGTGCCTTAAAGTCTTGGTCCCCAGGGTGGTAATGTTAGAAGGCAGGGCCTAGTGAGAAGGCTGTGGGTCGCTGGGGTGGGCCCTGGAAGGAGACTGTGGAACCCCAGCCTCTTTCTCTTGCTGCCTGTCTCTTGCTTCCTAGCTCATGAGGAAATGGTTTGCTCTGCTACATGCTCTTGTCATGATGTGTCACCCTTACCAGAGACCCAAAGCAAAAAGGCCTTTTGATCTTGGAATGTTACTTTCAGTACTGTGAGCCAAAATTAACCTTTTCTCTTTATAATTTAATTGCCTCAGGTATCCCATTATAATAACGGGAAACTGATTACTACAGTAGATACTAGAAAACCAACTTACTATTTGGAAAACAAAGAGGAAAAAGTCAAAAACTTTTTCTTAAGAACTATACCTCAGGGAAACCAAATAGCTCACAAAGGGAAGTCCTCTCCATAGAAATATCCCACCTCATAAATAAAGAAGGAAGGAATGGTGTGAATATCATTTGAACATGCTAATAAATTAATAGATCAACAGTTGCTAACAAATAGAAAGACAGACATTGTGTAACTCCTGATAGAAAAACAAAAATACACCTGAAGCCTGACTTTGCCAAAAACTATGTCCAATATATCTGATCAAGTCTCTATGAAATTCAGGAGGCAGAGGAGCATGTTGGAATAATTCCACGAAAATGTAGTCAGCAAAATCCTGAGTGGTACTGGGCACAGGGTCCCACTCCTATAATCCCAGCAACTGAGACAGAAGGATCACAAGTTCGAGGCCAGCCTTGGCAACTTAGAGAGACCCTTTCTCAAAATAAAAAAAAATTTAAAAAAATAAATTTAAGGACTGGGGATGTGGCTCAGTGATGGAGTGCCCAGTGCAAGAATAATAATAATCCTGATGGGGTTGAGGATCAGGAGAGGAAACACAGAGGGCTGGGTGGGTAGCTCAGCAGTAGAGGGTTCACACTGGGCATTTGCAGTGCATATGAGCCAAACACAAATCTTAGTTAGACACTAATGAAGATTTAGTTTGTTTTTTTTTTTTTAAATGGCATCCGGGTGTTTCCTGTGGTTGGGTTCCAAAAGCAGAGCAGTTCCCTTTTTAGAGACACATTAACAGATGGCACGACATTGTCTGAGATTCGCTTCAGAATAATCCAGGGTGGAAGGTGGGGAGTGGGTAGAGAAGGGAAGGGCGTGGGGGTGGATGGCCGTCGAAGCTGTACCCATGGAGACGTGGAAGCTCACTGGGTCATGCTGTCCTGGTAAGTTTTAGGAATTCTCCATAGTAACACGGCTTTTAACAATTGAGTGATTCCTTAACCAAAGAAGCGAAAGGTGTGTTCACTGCACACTACGAAACACTGCTGAAATAAATTACAGGAGACACCTACAAATAAAAAGACGCCCTGGGGTCACGGATTGGAACCTTAACATCCTTAAACTGGCCTTACTACTCAAAGTGATTACAGATTCAAGGCAATAATTACTGAAATCCCAATGGCTTTTTTTTTTTTTTTTGGTAGAAATATAAATTCTAAAATTCACACGGAGAGGGCTGGGGTTGTGGCTCGGTGGTAGAGCACTTGCCTTGCCCGTGGGAGGCAATGAGTTTGATCCTCAGCACCACAGGTAAATAAATAAAGGTATTGTGTCCATCTAGAGCTAAAAAAAAACTCACATGGAATCTCAAAGGGCCCTGAATAGCCAAAAGCAATCTTGAGAAAAAACCAAGCTGGCGCCCTCACCCTTTCTGATTTCAAAACAAATTCCAAAGCTCTGGTCATCAAAACAGCGTGGTGTTGCCATAAACCCAGATGGGCCAATGGAATAGAACGGAGAGCCCAGAAATGAACTCTCCCATCCGTGGCCAACTCTGCTTCCCCACTGTGCATCAACCGAGGACAAGGACCCTCTCTTCAACAAATGGAACTGGGAAAGATGTATATCTACACACAAAAGAATGGAGATGAACTCTTACCTTATACCACACACACAAATCAACCCAAAATGGACTGAAGACCTTAAGCATGAGAGAGGAAACTATAATACTCTTCCAAGAAAATGGCCGGAGGTGGGGGGCTTCGACGGAAGGGACCGTGACTTGATTTCATTTGTTACCAAAAGCAGAGGTTACAATGACCACAAAAATTGACAAAAGGACTCTATCAGACTTTAAAATGTCTGCACAGCCAAAGAAACAATCCTCAAAGTGAGAAAGCCACCAAAAGGTTGGGAGGAATTATTTGTAAAGCTGCATATCAGAGAAGAGGTTGGTGTCCAGAACAGATAAAGCATTCCTACTGCAAACTCCCACAACCGGATTTTAAAATGGCCTCGGGAGCTGGGTGCAGGAGCCCACACCTATAATTCCTGTGACGGGGAGGGTGGGGCAGGAGGATTGCAAATTCAAGTCTAGACTGGGCAATTTAGCAAGAGCCTGTCTCCAAATCAAAAATAAAAAGGTCTGGGTGTGTAGCTTAGCTTAGTGGTGAAGCACCCCCGGGCTCAGTCCCCAGGACGTAAATGAACACAAGGTATGGGCTAAGAACTTGAATAGCCATTTCTGTGAGAAGACACACAAATGGCCCCAAGCATGTGGAAAGATGCCCAACCAATGCAAATCAAAAATCCAATGAGGGCTGTGGACACAGCTCAGTTGGTAGAGTGCTTGTCTCCATGCACAAGGCCCTGGGGGTGGGGGGGAGGGAGGGAGGAGATACTGTAAAGGATGATGGAAAAGCTCCGTAAACTCAGCAAGCCAAACAACCATTTACCTGTCCGAGAATTTATTAGCAGGACCATAGCGGCCAGTC